CATCAGCTGTTACCTAACCTAATCTGACAAATTGATTGTTTTCATTTAACCAAATTATCAATAACCAGTGAAAGTGTAATCATATCACGTGTTTACTAATGATGATCAATGTGTTGTGAATTGTGGTTAATTTGATTCATTTTCAACTAATATTGAGGACAACAATTAGGCTACTGTATGTGTGTATGTGATAATATTGTCAAAATTAATTAGCTTTGCCTTATCAATCAAGTGATAATTAGTGATGGGTCAATTTAATTCACCAAATTAGATAGATGGACATTTATATATATCAAATCTGCAGAGAGTAATTATCAGCCGGATGAAAGAGATGGAAATGAAATTAAGTGACCAGTAAGTGACCAATGAAAAGTTCATCTGAATAATGGATTAGATTGAGAAAAAAATTGTTCTCGGAAAAACTTGTCAATAACATAACTTTACCTCCATGTAATCATTATTTTCATCATGAATTGATTTCATTTTTTTTTCATCAACTGATTGTTGGAAATTGTGAATGAAAGTTTTGAACTCAACAATTGAACTCGATAAAGTTTCATATTCAATTTCTCATGTAGGAAGAAATGAAAAAAAGTTCATGATGACTCTATGATTCAAATGAACGACTTTTCTGATTTTCCTTTTCATCCAAATGATTTAATGTCTCATCTTCAATGATGATGAATTGAACTTGTTATTATTTATGACACTTTTTTTATTGACCAGTTCCTGTTAATTTAGTTATCGCTTGTCAATATTAACTCATCTTCCGTTCCAACTGAACATCAACCATATGAGATGACAGATTAAAGAAAAAAAAATCTCTAGCTTTTTGATTCATTCTCAGGCCTCTGATTGCATGTTCATCATGATAATTAGGTTATATTGACTTGCAACACAGTTCTAACACATGACAAGGCACGCAAGTGACCTTACCCCTCTCAGGTAATGATAAAAAATAGTATCAATACCGTGGGTGTATGATATGTATGTGTCATAAAGGCGTAATAACTTCATTAACAGCAATACAGGGCTATTATGTTCAATGTAAAGATTTAAAATGGCGTCAGTAACGCGGAAGAGTTTTTAATTATTTTTTTCCGGAATCTGATGATCCAACTATTCAGCTTTCTAATGAGACTATGGACACTTTTGTGTGACCTCAAATAAGGTCACAATAAAAATTATAAAAAAATTCGGAAAATTTCTTTTTTTAAAGATTTAACATTGGAGTCTATGGGGAAAAAGTTGATTTTTTCGCTCCCATAGAAAACCCTTGAAACCAAGATAGGAAATTAACATGGGCTTAAAAAAATTTTTTCGAATTTTTATAATTTTTATTGTGACCTTATTTGAGGTCACACAAAAGTGTCCATAGTCTCATTAGAAAGCTGAATAGTTGGATCATCAGATTTCGGAAAAAAATAATTAAAAAAACTCTTCCCGCGTTACTGACGCCATTTTGAAATCTTTACATTTGAACCTTAATAGCCCTGTAGATTAGATTTTTTTTCTATCATCAAATGTTGACCATTTTTATTGTGGTCAAAGAGATTGATAAACTTACATGAAAGCTATTCCTTTGCCAAGAATAAGTAACAATCAAACTATTATTTCATAATCTGGTTCATTTATATTACCTGATCTGCTTAGGATTATAATTTTTTCTTTGCTAATCAAATTGTGATCAATCAAACTATAAATTAAATTCCAGTTAAATTGTCAAAGAAAACTGACCTTTAACACTAAGGTAAAAGTTTTGCTCTCTCTCTCAGTTTGTTGATATACTTTATTAAATTTCATTTTCATGATAATCTGATCATGAAAAGTTTCCTCATAATGATTATATTGTTCATGTCTTGTAATTTTTTTTCCAGGGTAATTTACCATGATAACAGTAGATAAATATACACCAAATGAATAATGAGAAAATGAAAATAAAGAGAAAGAGAGAGATGATAAAAGTAAATATTATTGTTTCTCTTTTTTTTCATCTTCTTTTTCATCTCTTCATGTAAACATTTCTCTTTATTCATCATGTACCCAAGACCTGAAATGTAACCTGAATCATTTTGAGGTGAAGACATGATATTGAAACTTGAACCTTACTCACTGAATGTTTATCCGAACAAGTAAATGTAAGCAGAAATAATAATAATAATAACAAGACAAAGTTTTCTACGTGCTCATATTATCAATCATATTGACCAAGAATAACAGAATCTCCAAAGTTACTGGAAAATGTGATTGGCATTCTCAAAGAGAAAAAGAAAGAGGAAGAAAAAATATCCACAGAATTTATGGAATAGAATTACAGAGAACAGGTTAACCTCATGGAGATGTATTAGAGAAGAGAAAAAAATTTGAGAGAGAGAGAAAAAATTGAAATTCTATCTGAATAAATATTACAAGTATCATGATGAGTGAACCAGAATTTTGACATTTTTCAGATTGATATTTAATATCATCTAATAATAACATGGGATTGAAATTTTTATTCACATGTCAATTACACCTTTGAATATATTAGTCCTTTTATTTGTATCACACTTACACCTAATCATTTCCAGCGGAATGTTAATGATATCTAATCATGATCATGATAATATTATTATCATGATTGTGTATCGACTGTGATGGATGAGCTGAATTTCATCACATTTTTCAAATAATTTTCCTCTATTAATATTATTTCTGCTAATGTTTAATACTTTGATCAATTGAAATTGAATATTGTATATATCTATACAAATTAATCAAACTTAATATTCATTGCAATCAAATTAATTGTTGTCATTCAGTTGATTGGATACATGCATCAATCAATTTGTATTATTTAACATTCACGTTGTTTTTTCATGGTTATCTTATATTAGATTTAATCATCATTTACAATTATCATTAACTATCACTGATAATACAATATTAATGTAATTGATATTAGTCATTTTCTTATCAAATTAGACTGTGATTATCGCAACGGTAACTTAATCAATTGTTATCATTATCACTTTTACTTTGATTATTATTATAACTGAGAAATTGATTGTGTTCATCATCATGATTACACAGTTTTATCTTAGATTCTGGTTACTATTGGTTTATCTTGTACCATTAATATTATCAACTTGGGAAGTAATAACAATAATCTGAATCAATAAAAATCCCGAATTATTATCATGAGTGTGTTTGGATTGGATTCGAAGGTTACTTCGATTTTTTTCCTTTCGATACTTTCAGAAAAGAAAAAGAGAGGGAGAAAGAGAAAGAAAGAGAGAGAGAGAGAGAGAGAGAGAAAACTGTAATTGGAAGTTATCATGTTTCTGAACTGAATAAGATTCATGTGAACTTTTCCTCTCTCTCTTTGTTTTTGTTTTCTTGTTGAAACTTGTCAGATCTCTGGAAATTACTGTTAATGTTATCAAACTTGTCATGTTTACATTTAATACATAGAGAAACACTGAAACAAAAGGATAACCATCGTATTATATAATCAGCATAAAACAACAATGATAATGATAATTCTGATAGGAGATTGTTGCTCTATTATCATTGTCATCATCATTTGAGTTTCTATCAGTTTAATCCATGGGCATCTTTTACACTTAAAGGATTAGTAGCATTTAAATAACATTAGAAAAAGTCCATCTAATGAGATACAACATGAGAATCACATGAGAATAAAACTTTCCCATGTTATTATTATTAGTCTGTCAAATGTGATTTAAAGCTTAACTCAAGAAGAAGATTTTAGTTTGATTAAGACTCAAATGTTTGTTGTTATTGTTATTGGAAGAAGAAGAAGATGATGATGATGACAATGGTGATTGAATTAGTTGATAAAATGTTATCATTGTTATTTTCAGTGTTAATGCCACGATAGAAACAATAATCTGATAAAATATCAATTTAGAAAACCAAAGTTCAACTTGTTCAAGGGATAAATCGTAATGTGAGAAATGTTTTTCCAGTGTAACAGTTATTTTATTTGCTATGATTTTACATCGATAAACCTTGAGAATCAAATGGAAAAGGCAATCTAATCATCCATGGGAATCCACTAAAATAAACCAAATGATAAAAGTTGTTGAAATTTATCATGACAATTTTGGCTTCTAGTTTCTCTTGAATTGAAAGTTTCGATTATAACCTTGAGGAAAAGAAATAAGAAAAAATATATCACATTGTACGACCACTGTTTCTTTTTATAATAACCATTTGATGGTCAACATAAAATGACCCAAACGTTTATATATCTGTTCAGCTAATTACAGGGTAATGTGGTTTTGGTCAGTTTTCTAATGAATAAGTAATAGTTATTCTTAGTTGCTCAGAATTCCGGAAATTTTATTCTCACAAGTGACAGAAGAAAAAGTGAATAAAAGACAATAAGAGTAACCAAAAGTCGAAAACATTTTCATGGTAAATGTCATCAAGCTAATTCGTTAATATGATTCTTGATAATGGTAAATGAGCTTTTGTGTCAATTAGTCGGACCATTCATTAGATTTATCCTTTATCTTTTGTTCAAAGAGAATACCTTTCATGGTGATAATAATGATTATCATCATGATCATCTTATCATACTAGAACTCAGCTACTCAAGATGTTACATGGACTCTTAAGTATTATAACCAATAACTAATGGATTATAATACTTGTAACAGTTTACCGTTATTTCTGATAACTGTAGCTGTTTTTTTTTCTTACCTTTGATTATTGTTCAACCCTGAGTGCATGAGTAATTCATTCAAAGTTTAAATGTAATAGTTAATTGTACAAATGACAAATAATCTTACCAATCAACTAATAGACTTTTTCATTCTCAACAATTAGTGTTACCTTAACTTATCAACTCTTTTATTGTTAACCAATTACCAATACACAATAAGAGGAATTGAGTGATTACTCTTAATGTAACCATTATAAGAATAACATCAATTGTTAACCTAATAATAATTTTCGTCTCTTTTTCTGTCGTTTTTTTTGCCTCCATTCAGGTAATCGACGTTTACCTTTCGATGAGAGGCATATTCATGTTGGTTTAGGCAAAATAAATATTCTCTCAGTTTCCAAGGAAGATGCTTCATCGTATAAGTGTATTGTCTCATCGCTTAATGGTGAACGATATGAGAGCAACATATATCTTCATGTAGTAGGTAAGTGATTTTTTCACTGCTCTCTCACCATGATGATCATGATGTTATTGGAATACCAAAATACTTTTATTCAAAACTTTCAATCTTTTATTCATACTGATTTATGAGCATTATCGTCACCATAATAAGAATAATTTTACCCAAAAGGTTCCCGGTTGATCATTGAAAATGATGTTATGGATTATGAAATTTGACTCTTAATTGTTATTGAAAGAAAAGATCATCATTGAGTAGATATAATTTCACATTTCTATGAATCAAAGTAGACGATTAATCTAATTAATCTTTTCATCTGTTCCATCAAATTGATAGCTTGATTATTTTGAACTCGATGCTTATCAGAATTTGAATAATTTTGAATTTTCTAAGAAGTTGAAACGTGAAGCTAAACCAATAGAAATGAATCATCATTAAACTTATAGTTTGGGCTACACAATTGAAATAATCAGTTGCCTTGTTTCAATTCATAAAATCATGATTCAGATTCAAATTTAATGCATATTCAATTAGGTTCACTATCATTATCATGATGATCATTAGCATCATTCAACTGTATCATCTTTCTCTCTATCTTTTATTTATTTTCTTTTGCTTACTTTAACTTTAGTAAGAGTCAATTTCAATGAAAAACCTCCAACCACCATCATCACAACCACCACCTCCTCCCACTCAACCTCTTACAACAATTCATTTAAAACTAGAAATTACAATGTTCATATAATCAAGGAAAAGCTTTCCCACTCCCGATTCCAATCCTCCGCCTCCTTCATCTTCTTGTTAGTTAACTTATTTAACTTTCTGTTGATTGTGTATCTTCATTATCATCAAGCAAGATAATTTCCGGTTTTAAAGTAATTTCAACACTTTCATGATAATGTGTTCAGAGCTGGAATAATGAGCCAGATTCAGTTGAATTTCTTATAAATACTGAAATGTGAATAAGGTGAACATAATAGATCAGCAGATGACAAGAGAGAGAGAGAGAGTCAATTGTCAGTGTTGATGAGAGATAAAAGTTCAGTGTCTAAATTGGAAAAGTCCGAAGAAGAAGATGAAGATGAAGGAATAAAAGAACTTTTTTTGTCTTTTCTTCCTTTTTCTTCTTTATCCTTTTATCTTACACTAAAATCCGATGGATGTAACAAAGATTCTGATCAAGTATTAAATCTCTTCCATGAAAATTACCATGATCACACCACCTTACGTAGAGACTAAAGTGTTTACACTAAAATGTCACAAAGAATTATTCATTTCCTTTCTTACTATTAGAAAAACTTTTATCTTAACATTTTCTGGGTCAATTTATTTATTCCATATTATCAAATAGAATCAGACTGATCAAGTGAATAGTATTTACTTTTGAATAATAACAATCAAAATAATGATTGAAATCAGAAAATTCCTAATGAGTAAGTATTTCACTTAGAAACATTTATCATAAATTCATTAATAAAAATCGATGAAAAACAATTTCAATTGTTAGAGCTTCAGTAAAACCAGTAAGATATGTAAATTTATTCATTAATAATAATCAATGGAATACAATTTTCATCATTAATACTTATCAACAACAAAAGATATAAATCATATTCGGTTAATTAAGAGTATCTTGATCAACAATCAATCAATTTAGATTATCACTGAATATTTAAAGGAATCTAATAATAATTAAAAACTTTTTCTTTAATAATTCCGATAATCTGTAAATTCATAATACATGTAAGGTTTTCAGAATAATTTCGAATAAGAAAAATTCTAATCAATTCCATTGAATCTGTGATCATAAGGTGGTTAATATCTAAATTGTCGGTGAGAATGTCAACTTTCATGGTTCATTATTCCTGTGATTGGCAAACTTCATCTTATTTTGTGTATCGTTGATTTACCATGTGATGAGGGTTGGTGATAATGATAACAGTTCATTGACAAAGAAATTGATTAACTAAGATACACTTTATCACATAGTATATAAAGTTAGATTGAGATTACTCAGATTCATGATATTATTCTTACTCATTCCATTGACAGGGGGAAGAAAAAAATAACAGTTAGAAAAGGAAAAGGAAAAGGGGAAAAAAGTCTAAGATACTCATGATATTAATCATTATTATTATCAGACATTTCAACGTCATGATAAAAATTATCATCGTCCTTATACAACATATTGGAAGAAAGTAATTTGATAATAGATAATTTTAATAAGCTGATATATCAAATAATATATAAATCTACGGAAATCTCAAAGGTTCAGATAGTGAAAGAGAATCGGTATCATTGCCTGATTATCAAGAGATGGATAAAGTTGTAATAATAATATTACTATGATTTTCTGAGAGAGAGAGAGAGAAGCTCAATTTTGCCGAGAATTAATGATAAAAAGATTAATCTATTACATTAACAAATCATTATTTCTAATTATTGTTTTTTCATCATTAATCATTATTACTTGTGTCTTAGCTCCTCCTATTTTGAGCCCGTTTGCATTTCCGGGTAGCCTTGAGGAGGGTATGCGAATATCAATCATGTGCTCTGTGATTGCTGGGGATCCACCGATAACTATAACCTGGTTAAAAGATGGACATCAACTATATGATCGTAGTGGACCTAATCCATCAATTCATCTCGTCTCCTTGACTGAATATGTTTCCTCTTTAATCATTGAGAATCTCAATAAATCTGATTCAGGTAACTATACCTGTTCAGCTTCAAATGCTCATTCATGGACCAGTTATTCTGCTCAATTAGTTGTTAAATCAAAGCCTCATTTTACTTTGTCACCAATTGCAAGAACATCAATCAGTGATTTACCTGTTTTATTTAACTGTCAAGCTGATGGAGTTCCAAGTCCAGTTATTAGGTGGAAATTTCAACGTTCATTTGGACCAAGTGAACCAATTGCAATTCTATCAAGTCCCAGGGTTCATGTACTCGAAAATGGTTCACTTCATATAAGAACTGTTTCCCCGGAAGATGAAGGTACCTATTTGTGTGAAGCATCAAATGGCCTAGGAAAATCAATCTCAGTCTCAGCATTTCTTAAAGTCCATGAGCCACCAAAGATCCGTCCAGTTACATCTAAATCAATAATTAAATATCATGAACGGGCTGAGCTAATCTGTCAAGCATCAGGTTCAGTTCCCATGGTCATCGAATGGTTTAAAAACGGTAATCCGATTCAGGGTGATGATGATGGAGGATCCGGTTCAAAGTTAACATCTAATTATGGTGTAAGAGAGGAAGATGATGCTAAGTTTAAAATTTCAATACTAACAATACATTCATCAAATCGTAATGATTCAGCTTTGTTCATTTGTAATGCAATCAACTTTTATGGTTCAGCTCAGACAATTATCAAAGTAATTGTTCAGGAACCCGCTGATCCACCAGATAATTTAAAAGCAACTCAGATTAAATCAAATTCTGCAACAGTTTCATGGTCAGTTAATTATAATGGTAACTCACCAATTCTTGGATTTCTTATTGATTACAGAACTGCATCCGGTAAGTTGTCAAATTTGATTAGCAATTGAATCAAATAAATATCATATCAATCTGATCAATCCTTTGATAATTGAAACTTTTATTTTTCTTCCAATAGAAACTTGGACATCAGGAAAAACTTTATACATTAGTGATACTACAGCAAATACAGCAATCATCAATGATTTGAGTCCATCAACATCATATTATTTTAGAATAGCTGCTGAAAATATTATCGGAAGAAGTGAATTTAGTCAAGAACTATTTTTTATAACTCGCATGGAAGGTAACTATTAATAGGGATAGAAAAGTAAACACAAATCGATTAACTAAAAAACTAATCAATTTGATTTTCTTTTATTTTTCATTTCGTACAACTCATTTATTCAGCTCCAAAAGTTGTGCCTGAAAATATAACTGCCGTGCCTTTAGATTCCAAGTCTATACGAATTAGTTGGATTCTTCGTCGTTCAATGAACGAACTAGATAATCATTCTCGAAGAGGGACAATTGATGGTTTTTATATCGGCTATAAACCAGTCTCGACTCAATTATCTTTTACATTTAGTACAATGCATCTACCTGACAATGGGAATGTTGAAAATACATCATCCGATGGATTGATTCACGTTTCATCTTCTGCTACTTCCTACTCCTCATCTTCATCGGAAGAATCGATTTATTCAAACACGAATGTTTATCATAATCGAGATTTGAACAAATTTCAAACAACAATTTATGCACTAAAAAAGTCAACTAAATATGCGATAATTGTACAAGCATTTAACAAGGAAGGTGAAGGCCCTTATTCAGACCAAATAGTCGTTGAAACTTTTGCTAATGGTAAGTGAAAAGTGGAAATTATTCAGTTGAAAAATAATAGAATGAAACTCAAGTCTTTTTTGGTAAAAGTTCAAGATAAGTTTTGTACATTTCTTTTAGAAACAAGAGCAAGTAAAGAACAACAATTGCATGTGTTGTTATCAATTTAACGAATGAAAATATTCTAGTTACTCTTATCGATCATCATGATCCACATCAAATGGTATTTTGATCATCAAAATCAATTGATAAACTTTAACAACTCTTCTTCAGGGGAAAGTTTCTCTACAATTCGATAATTTTTGCTCCCTTGATTTCCTTGCAAAGTTTAACCTTCCCTGTTGTTTTCTGAAAAGCATGAAAACTTTTTCCCAATTCTGAACATTTTCATTCTGTATCAACTTGTGATAATATCTTTCAACACCTTGGGGTACAATTAACTAATTCCATCAACACCGTGTTAACATTTTACTTCTGGTTAATCAAAAGCAACAGAAACTAATTAAATTACCTTAATGTTAACAAGCGTTTTCATCATCAGTTAGGTAACACTATCGATCATTAATTTTATCAACTTTCTCTCTCTCTCTCTCACTAACTCCTTTTCGTTCTTCATCTCCCTTTCTTCAGAATATTTGATTCAGAATTCGATATAAAAGAGTGGAAATTTATCACCTTACATTTAGGATTCAATTCAATGCCTCAGATTATTTAACATTACAGATTAGACGAAATGCGAAAGAAATAAAATACAAGCATAATACCTCGATATTTCATGTATTAATAATTTATCAGATATTGAGGGCAAGTCGAAAATCTTTTCTTATACTATCAGATATAAGATTTACCTGACTTTTTGAGAGGTTGAATATTATATTTAATTGCCGTATTATTAAATTTTCTAAGTATATGGAGAAGGCCCAATATAAAGTTACTTTCTACTAGTTCAGTCTTGAAAGAGTGAAAAATAAGTTTGTTCAATGCTACATGTGTATTTATCGCAATTGAATTCATTCCGATTGACACATTAATGTCAATTGACCTGGAAATTTACCATGAACCAAAAGGACAAACGTGAGAAACGATTGCCCACCCCTTCATGAGCATCATCACCATGACTGAGCTTTAGATAAACAAGAAAACTAAATAATGTGTAACAGAACAGAAACAATCAATGAGATCAATATAACTTAAGTGATCAAATATGTTAACAGAATTGATTATGATCATACATTGGATGTTTATTGATAAGATGATGAGGAACAAACTGATTAGAAATCACTAGAAATCATCATTATTAGATAAGAAAACGATTCCGTCTAAGATTCACTATAATCATTAGAACTTTTTGCTTTCTTACATTTTCTCCCGTTTTGTTTAGTTCAACTTTTACTTCACAATGGAACATGATTAGTTCTGAATCATTAGATTTCAGGTCAACAGGAAAAAAATATGAATTTATAAACAAAAGGGAACTCATGCTATCAGAACCAGAAATTCAGTGAATTCATTCAGTTTCTTTTTTTTCTGTTCCACCATTACGATAATTTCTTCTGATGATGATGTGTTTTTTTCTGCTGCATCTTTCATAAACTATCATTAAACTCAATGTTAAATTGATTCGCATTAAAAGTTGATCAGCAACACGAGTTACAATCAAACTGGAATCATTCATCTGGTAGTAAAACGTTGAATATATTTATCCACTTATATCAACATTTTCCACTGAATACAAAACTCTGATGAAAAACAAAGAGGGATATTAGCGTTTCAATGCTCATTTCGAGCCAAAGAATTGTGACTCAATTCCTCGTGCTGTTCAGAAATCCTCTTTTCTCTCAGTCTTAATCTGGTCCCAGAACTTTTTTCCCCATCATAATAGTCATGATAATATTCTTGGTTCATTTTTTTTTGTATTTCGTTTTTTGCCCTTTCTGAAAAAAAGTTTTCCTGATGACTTTGGTCGTTAGTATTGTTTCCCAGCATTATTGGTAGGGAATCGTTGTGTAAAGGGAAAGCTATCAAAGAAATACTCAAAAAGATTTCAAATTATTATTATTCTGAACGATTGGTTCACTACCATGATTCGTTTTCTTTTTTGTTCTGAAAATTTTTCCATATTTATCCTTTACTTACTCAATAAATTTCCATGTGTATTCAGTTGCCCATAAAATATAACATTCTTATCATTCTGTATGTATCACTGTGGAGACTAGAAAACATGATTCATCACAAATTGAGCCAATTTCTTATTCTTTAATTTCAAGTTGCAACGAATTTTTTTTTCTTCTTCTCATGTTCGTATTAATATATTGTTTCCATAATTATCTTGTCTTTCCTACAGATTCCTACTCACTTTGTCAGATTTAAATGTAATTCTCGTTGTCAAGGGAACTATTATTATCATTTTTATCCCAAACTTTTATCATCGTAATTTATATCTTATCAATTGATAAAATATATATAGATAACAATCAAAGCTATTTGTTGAGTTTATCACCTCAGGCAAATCTCATCAATCTTATATTACCAAGTACATGTAATACATTTCATCACATTGCAAAACTCAGAATAGTGTGGGAAATACACAGAGATAAATTCATGTCCATTAAATGTCCGATTAATAAACTGATTCAATAAATGAAAACCTTTCACATCAAAACGATAAAAAAATAGGAAAAAATTACTATTGGTTTTTCATAATACTCTAAGTGAATGTGATTAATTAGCTTCGGACCAAATGATGATGATTAATTTTCGTTACAATCAACAAAGTTTTTTTCTTCTCTGAATTAAAATGATAGTTTCAAGTGTATTTGACAGATTTTCATCATGTTCTTGATAACCCTTTTCCTTGGAATGAAAAAAAAGTTTCAATTTATATTATCGATTTCTCTGTTTATGTCATTACGTTAGTTTAAAGTGATTTACATGAAATTCATAATCATCCATGTTATTATTATTGTTGTTAATATAATAATATCGTTATTGTTACAGGTCAACTGTTTGCACTTCCGTTTGAATGAATTTGATAAACTTAACTAAGGCATATAAATAGTAGGGGGAGAAAAAGTTCTGACTGAATTTTTCATGATAAGCATGCTGACAATACAGCTATTAATAGTTGAGGTTATCTCATTTTTGCCTGTTCATTGATTACCGAGTTAATTTTTTAGTAATTTAACAGTGAAAATTGATTCAGCTTAATATTGTCATAACTGAACACGATTATTTGAGTTTCATTCATCAAAATTTTTCTACATTGATTGAATTCTAAATCACTTTTACTCTAATCATCGATATATTTTATATACAGATCCACCTAAAGCTCCAAAGTTGTCTTTTGAAAGTTCAACTAGTGATAGTGCCTCACTCATCTGGTCTATTGGTCATCATGCTGATCAATTATCTCCCGATTCAATTCATGGTTTCATCTTAAGCTATCGATGTAATAAATCTGACCCGGAAGTTTATGATGATATACGTTTACCTAAAAATTATCGACGATACCATTTATCTAATTTACTTTGTGGTTCCACATATATAGCCAAGTTATGTGCCTTTAATGAAGTTGGTAAAGGTGAACCAAGTAACGAGATTCATTTCAAAACTGAGGGATCAGGTAAATGAGAAAACAATATTAACTTTTATGGCAAAATAAAACTTTGCTTATTCAATTTACTTTCTATCTTTATTGTGATTATTTAACTTTCTTTACTTTTGGTTCTCTTTCCAATTCAAAATAAAGTTCCAAAATATCCAGAAAAAGATGCATTCATTACAATTAATATTACCATGGTTACTTTATGGTTAGCAAATTGGTCTGATGGTAAATGTCCGATAGACTATTTTGAGGTGCAATATAAGCCACAATTTCAACCTGAATGGATTCTACATTCCAATCGGATTCTTCCTGATTCTAGGAAGACAAATATCACTGAGATAATGCCAGGAACTTGGTATGACCTTTTGGTTATTGCTAAGAATGAGGCTGGAACCACAGAAGCAAAATATTTATTTGCAACTCTTGATGTTACTGGGGCAACTGTTGCTCCCCTGTTATTCAATGATTCAGGGAAATCAATGATGGAAGGCCTTCTTATCCTGATTCCATCGATAAGTGCAATTATTGTTCTCATTTTAGTTGCTCTTTTTGCAATTTATATCGTTTTCCTGAGACCCCAAAGAGATTCTGGACAAAGTGACCTTTGTAAGTTTCAAAAACAAATTTTGATTTTTTCATCATTATTTCAAAGAGTAGCAAACTTTGAGTATTGACAAAGTCAAAGTTAATCATTCAAAACAAATTGACTAGTTTATCGCACTTAATTGTGGATATTAGTGTGTGTCCTTTACAATTAAACGTAACAATATATTGTCATTATAATCATTCACATCGTCATCTTGATTACTTTTAATCATTTATCATGATGAAAATGATGATTACAAATACAATATAACAGCTTCCCAATCAAAGTTAATTACATGGTTTGCAATTATCCATTCAATTGGTATATCATTACAATGATGATGACAGAGAATGAGGCATTTTCGTCCATTGAGAATTGTTTTCATTTCGTTGAAACATCATCTCCTATCAGACCTTTTATCAAAAAGCATCATGATAATACTGAATCAATTGTCAATCCTGATGATAATGATAATAATAGGTTATATCACTTGATCCGATACTAGAAACAAGATAAGGATCATTTCACAGAGGGAGAGAGAGAGATATATATATATATATGATGATGATGATGATGAAGGGAGAAAGCTGCTCCTCATTATCATCATCATGAAAAGGAATATGATTTTCTTTTTTTTCTTCATTAGATAAACAAATGATTCATGTGATGATTGCTGGTTTTTACACCCTAAAGCAATTATTATTATCTTTCATTAATATATAATGATTATTAACTTTATCTATTATTTAGATGGGACTCACCAGGGTGCTGATTCAGTTTCCCTTCATTCATATAACAAGGCAACTAAGGGTGAACCTTTGTATGATCATCAAAGAGTCTATTGTACATCAGTCTATTCAACTGGAAACAATACTGTCAACAATGACAATCTTGAGATTCGTGATAATCCAGGTCAATTACAATGTTCATTAGATGATGAATATCATCGTTTTGTTTTGGATAATCGGGTTCCAAGGAAAGGATTTTACGATCATATTTATGATGTTCCACATAGACATCAGAAAATATTCACTGGTCTTCATTAACATTGTTCTTATCCGATTGTAAGAATTGAAAATAACCAATTGAATCATAAGAAAAATCACAAAGTGACAATACTCAAATACAACATACACACACACAAGAATCAAAACATTTCCAACTTAGGAAAATGTTATCATCATTATGAGATAAATTATTGATAGAAAAGTAAATTTCAATCTTCTGATACCAAATTCATGAGATTTCATGAAATTTTTTGACGTAATATTCAAATAATATAATCAAAGGTAGTTCATAACCTTGAATAATTGTATCGTTTGAAGTCTTATAACATTTAATTATCACTAATGTCATGTAATTGAACTCTATTGTACATTATTTATTACATATTGATGATTTAACTGTACAATTAAATCAAGTTAAAACCATTGATTGATCAATCAAATTAAATGCTTGATAAATCTTTGCATGATCTTCACTGATATATATTAATGTATAAATTTTTGTCTATGAAATAAATTATATTTTATCATAAAATAAATAATTACTAATGATAAATTGTATTGTACCTGTCAGCAAAATGGTAAATTGTTCAATTTTCATTCATTATCAAATTTATTTGCTCTTCAAAATCTGATTATCATCATGCAAGGTTAAAAATGATCAATGGTCATGAAAGGTATACACTTACATTATTGGATTTGTAGGTTAATCTGTATTGAGATAATTTTTTTCTGTCATTTTGTTACAAGAAAACCAACAATGAACAATCAAAATCTCAAAGAAATGTTAACTAATTATCTGAGTAGATTTACATTACTCAGATTGAATTATCTACCAGAATCGCCACCCTGGATATACAATTTACTTAGGTTCATTGTCATTTTTGATCTAGTATTTGTAACAATTAAAGGTTACCTATTCATTTATGGTAATCTTGACCCTTTGACCGCTTTGTACCTTGGTGATTATGCTATTAACTTTACCGCTTCTCACGATTTGTCACATTTTGTCAACATTTTGTGGCTTCATTGTGGTTTAATTTGTTTCTATTTGCACCAAAGGTCAAACAATTCTTCAAGTAAACAGTTCTGGTTCCAATCGTTAGCAATTCAAGATGAGCTGATTATTTACCATCCCAATAATCCCTTCAGACCAAATATAATTGCTCTCGATTCTAAAAACATTTCCTTGGTTCTTCATCTATTTTTTCATAATTTAAAATCCAATCTTTTCCTTGGTGGTGCATTTAGCTGGTTCCTATTCACTCCAATACTTATTGATTGTGAATCATTTCAACAATTTATGATTCTGAATATTTCTGGTCTCAATGCTGCGATCGGTGGTTATTGTTGTACTGCTTTTTGTGTCAACTTTTCATTTCTATTTGCATTCTATTCAATAACTAGTGGTTTAAGATATCATATGATTTCAAAGAGATTGTTAAGATTAACCCGAACAATTACAAGTTACAAGACAATCAAGATAATAATCAATCAATTGTTAACTCTTTTGATTGAAAATCATCGAGCTAACATTTACTGGACTCAAATTAATTCAACAGTTTTCTTGTTTACATTTATTGCTCAGATTCCAATTTTATATCTAATCTTTTTTATACAATTGACCAGTTTTACTAAATTTTCACTCATCATTCTTGGTGGACTTAATTTCCTCTGTGGTCAATCAATTACCTTTCTAAGTGCTTATTATACCAGAAATCGGGTGAGTAAATTTACTATTACCAGTTAATTGTCAGCTAATTGTAATCTGGTTTGAATTACCAGTTTTTTGCTCTCATTCTGATTGTGATTATCAAACTTAATCTTATCTGTAAATTGTAAATAGAGCTTCAAGCTTTCAAACTAAATGATTAGACTTAGATTCGAGCGTTTTATTTAGACTTTCGCTTAAACTTATGCACTCAAGATAATTTTTAGACTTCGGCCTACAAGTCGTTGTTTAATTGTTGTGATTGTTTGAGCAAAGCATTTACTTTGAAAACGTAATTTTTTAGAGGCAAGAATTAAAAAATGACAATTCAGACCAGAGCATTGTGAATATTAAACCATTGGCCGAGTCCCAAAATTTTCAGAAAATTTTTGCCGTTATTTTGTATTTTTACTGAATAGGAGAGAGAGCAAGAGTTACAAAGATCTGAGTCCAAGTCCAAACTTAAATAGACTTGGATTAAAGTCTATTTAAGTTGATTAGATTTAAATCTAAAGTCTAGATGTCTAATTACAGACGCTCTAATTGTAATGCATCAATTGATCAATTATCCATGATTGTTTGACTGTCTGATATTTACAGAATTTATCTTTTAAATCATAGTTGAATCGATGTCAGAAACAATTGAATCGTTTATTAATTGTTCGAAATGATATTGATTTTATAAGAAAGATACAATTAACCAATGTAGCTGAATAAGGTAGTGCAACTGAAAATTGACACATAAATTAAATTGTTGATAATTGGTCAACCAGAGAGTTTTAATTATTGAAATCAACACCAATGGTAGATCAGATTTTGAGGATTCTAATGACTAAATATTAATTAACAGACTTAAAATTATTAGCATTTAAATTAGTATCAAACTTAAATTATCAAATTCATATTGAAATCTGGTCTAAATTTAAATACAAAGTTCTGAAAATTTTACAATTATATAAAATTAAGTTCATTTCTAATCTACAAGATGGTATGATATTGAACTTGACTAATTATTTAATGAAACAATTAGTTAATGATAAATCGTCATAATGTTTCTGTAAGTGCAACATTGATCATAGACTAAAGTTAATTTATTTTCAACAATTAGTTACAAAATAGTTGATTAATTTATTAATTATAGCATTCTATTATTTGATGTCAGAATCCTCAAAATCTGATCTATAGTTTTCAATAATTAAAGAAATTATCAACAATTTAATTTATGTGTCAATTTTCAGTTGCACTACCTTATTTGATTGATCGACAATTATTTTTCATTTATGGAGGATTTGAATTCAATCAAATCAATTACCTTACGGTATGTAAAACTTTCATTCTATAAATTAGTAAATTATCAGGTGACCGAAAATAAGTGACCATCTCAAGAATGGTAGGTCCTAGAATAAAGTTTCAAACGTCATTGTAAGCACCATTGATCAAATATAAATCGTGAATTGTATTTAAAGGCCAAAATCGCGATTTTCTCTATGAGAAATTTATAATGGGAAAGTTAAGGTCAATTTTCGTTAATCTTGGCCATGTTGAATCTCAATAACTTACTTCAAATAATAATGAGCTTAGGTATATGAAATAATAGGTCAAAAGAATAACTTTTGACCAAGAATTTCGAGTCCAAAGTCAACCGTTCGCTTTTCGAGCCACTCGATTTCTCGAGAACCGTACGTCCTAGAAAAAAAGCTGACCATTTTTGGACTCACCGTGAAATTTACTTTCTTGCAATGTATATAAACGTCGGTCTGAAACTCAGGTTCTTGAGATACTCACTCATTTTCGGCCATCCGATACTTCATTCATCTTTCTAATATCTGATCTATTCACAGGTAATTCTGGAAATTGTATCACATTTACTGCTGTTAATTGCAAATTCTGGATAACTTTGGCTCTTGATTACTTTTACTGTATCATATTTGCACATTGCTATTCTTGTCTGTAAATTAATTTCAGTTTGGATTGATTTATGACAACGAATTGATTTGGAATTCATTGAGCCATAGTAAACTTATAGATTCTGAAACTTTTAACATTTAGCCTGACTTCGACCCTTGCTTGGTTAAATTGTCGATTCAGTTGTATCAAAGATACTATGATTTTCTTGTTTTCATTTCATCGAAATCATATAATTCTCACTGAAATGGTATTATCTACCATTAGAATTGATAGTTTCTAGTTATTATTATTATATCAACATAAGGAAAATGTAACAGAATAACTAAAACCAAACTTTTACAAACTTTCAATGTAAATATTGAACTCGTGCTAATTGTTGATTAGTCAATTTAACTACAATTATATTGTATTCAATCAACTATGTTGCTAATAAAAGTCTAACATGAAATGTGAATAAATTGTAACTGTAACAAATCTTAATTGGTAATTGGTAATCATTTGGTTTCCTGATTTATTTTTCTTTACAAAATTAAACCAACACAATTAACACACGATCATGGGATTGATGATAATTCCCATGATAAAGATGGTGAGAGGATAATTTTTTGCTCTTCCATTACCGAACCAGAATAATTAATATCAAAACTGTTCATTAATAAAGTTTTGGCATAATTTTTGCTTTTTTCCTCTCTCACATGGTGAGTTCATGTTCATGTTAATAATTTTCCCATGTTGTCTGTGTGTGTGTGTATATATACCATCCCGGAAGCATGAGGTTCATTTCATTGAATTTTCATCAACAGAAATTGGAGAAAAATAAAAAACATGATAACAATTTAGCTTTTCAAGTTTCAGGAAAATAGATTCATGATAACAGGGAGGAGGTTTTTCCTCTGTTCATCTATTGGTTCATCATTTGGATTTTTTTATCAATTGGAAACAATTCAAAACAAAAAGATAATCAAATTTCAACATAGTTTTCCAAAATCATATCAATCATGTTACTAATTACTGCAAATATTATCAACAATTTGCATTTGCTTAAATTAACCGATTGCGTGCAAATGATTAACATTGATCTTGATAAAGTTAATCAAACTTTCATTGTTACCAATTGATTGGGTTGACTTTATCATTATTATCAATGTTTTCTGGTTATTAATGGAAATGATAACAATACAATTGTTTATAATGATTGTTAAAGGGTTGATTAGTTGATTGTTTGAATGAAATAAAAATAAAAGCAGAATAATTTTGTCCAACTTAATCTAATTGCAAAAGTATTCCAAGTAAACTTAACATCAATTGTAATTGAAAATGTCTCGATCCATGTTAATTTGTGTTTTCATTTGTCTTCTCATGGTTGTTGATTTTATCTCATCAACTCCTGTAAGTGATGAGGATGCTTTAACTACACATGAACAACAACAACATCATCATCAAGATGCTTCATCTCACCTTCGTATGAAAAGATGGGTTTGTAACAATTTAACTGGTGATTTCTTGTGTGCTGGTTGGCCTGGTGCTTGGAGGTGTCATTGTGGTGCCAATTGTATCAAAGGCGCTTGTACCTGTAAACATTGTTAAATCGCAAGTTCATGACAATGAGCCAATCAAAATCAGAGATCAAAAGCTAAATTCAATTACCCTCAGGCTAAATCAACTTCTATACACGATTATTATTATTATTTTGACAAATTATTGATTATTTTTTTTATCATATTATTATTATTGTGATAATTGGAGCAATAAAATTTTCAATGATGAAAAAAAAAATTTAGTTGAAATCTGAAAGTCAAACTTTGACCTCTAAAATGTTTTAATGTCAATATTTTGATAACTGGTCCATAATTTAACAGCATTGAGCTTGAAATTTGATGCTTGTTTTTTTTTTGATTGTTATCATTATCAACTAAAAATAACATTGATTCTTAATGGAATCATTTCAACCCAAGTCTGTATTTCATTAACAGTTAAATAAGCTCAAGTTTAAAATTAGTCAACTTTATGTAAACAGTTGAGTTTACAGTTATCTTTTTCCTTCTTTGCTTTCTGTTTCTCTTTATAATTAATTTGATTGTTCAAGCTGATAAAAAGGTTACCATGGGTTCATTGAATTATTGGCAAGGATAACATGATGATGATCAACAGCAACATCAATACCTAATAATACTACCATCCAGTTCTGATTGATTGTTACAGGATAACAGACAATGTTTACTTTATTGAAAATTTAGATTAACTATTAATTAACCTATTAGATGTTGACCAAATGGTTAGTTTAATAATAATAGTTAGCTAATTGTAACTTAAATTAATGGAGAATTAGTAATTCTCAAAGTAACTCCTGCCATCTATAATTTGATTTACAAACGAAAAGTTCATAGTAGAAATCAAATTGATTTCTAGTCTAGCTCATGTCCTCTTTTTTGTAATTAACTCATCAAGGGAAATGACGAACCATTAAATTTAATATTATAAACAAGACCTTAAAGGTGACGATTAGTTAATTGATTTGAAGCATTTAAACGTTGATTGTCCGATCGATGAATGAACTTGATTTCCAATTTCTTCAAGCATAATCCAATTTCTGGACAATGGTCAAGTTGAGGAAAGTTTCAGTTTAACCTTAGATACTCAGGTTAACTCTTCATGATATCATGAAGTGGCTTAATTAGCCTTCAGATTTTTATTCATGTTTATGATGATGATAGTAATTCAATCAGCTGATGAGCTTTGCTACTCAATACCAATATTGCTTAACTTTTGTTATTCAAATTGATTACCAATTAAGATATAAAAGAAACTAATTTAATTAATGTAATCACCTGGTTGATAATTATCTGTTTACATTAATATAGTTGTAAATACTTTGTCAGTGTTTAATTTTGATTGTTTTACTTGTTACTTGGTTGATTAACTTGCTCCGTTGAATATCATTAACCAATACAAGCTTTATTATTGCTGCTATATGCCGGTTATTAATAATTAATTGATCATGATAATGATAATGTCAATAATATTTCCATTTATCAGTCATAATTATCATCAGTTAGGTGAATGAATTTTCATTAACATGAGAGACACTTAATTAAATTCTGAATGGTGTTTCCATCTATCGATGAGTTTAACAAATAAATTTATCGATTCATTTTCTCTGTTTCAACTCAGTGAATGTTGTGTTTTCTTTTGGTTCATGATAAGTGAATATTTTTTTTTACTACCATCAAAGTGAATCAGATTAGATTATAATCCAAGCTAATCATTGTTTCAATGTTTAATCAAATGATCATCGATTAAGTTTAATCAAAGAAACTTTAAGTTGTAGCTCGTAATCGTAATCGATGAATGTGCTTTAGTTAATTTTTGATTCTCTGAACAAATTGAGATTGTAACTGTGTCAATGTGCTGGAAAAATATTCTAATGATTAAAATCTCTAAGAATTTCTTTCAAATTTAAATAGTGATTCATGATTACTGATGAACATCCGAAACTCTGAAAGTTATCTTCATCACAATGAACCATTTTCCTTGTGTTCTAATCAAGAATCTTTATTCATTTACTACAATCAAGTGATACTTTATTTCTGTTGCTATTAATGTTCATATTTGGGTGAAACTTTATGATAAAAGATGAGATTGTTTTTCATTCAGATTTTAAATAATTTCAAAGAGAAGAGAAAAAAATTGTCAATGATAAGTGAAAGTTTTTTCAATAATAATCATCACCTTCAATTGAGAAGATGTTCCGTTATCAGAATTCTTGGTGCCTCTTATTATTGACCTTTGCGAGTATCATTTTACTTGGAATTTGGGTTGATTCAAGTCGATGGTCCCGATGGAAAGTTTATAATCTCATCAATTCCGGTTTATCAGCTGATGGTCATTTTGAACCTTTGTTGAGTAGATTTGGTTCAGCTCAATCAGCTAATTATCGTTCTAAATCATCACTTTCATTTAAATACTCATCATCTGAGCTTAATTTTTTAACATGGTCTCCAAAAGATAAGCCTTGGTTCATGGTTAACGGTTCTTTAATCCCTAATCCAAACGAGATTACTTTCTCAAGATTATCTCTTCTACCTGAAGATGATGAACCCTGGAACGATAGGATAATTAATCAATTAATGTATATACCGCAAGGTTATCAAAGTGATCAATTGAAAAAAGATGACCTGAAAAAGATATTATTACACTTTGATAAAAGTTCTTGGGGTCAAGAGTTACCCATTGGTCAAGATATTTTCCTTCAAGACTTGTGTCCAGTCAATACTTGTGAAATAACATTTGATAATAGACAAGCCTCAACCGCTGATGCCATTTTATTCAAGGTTAGTTCAATTCACATTCATTGATCATTTAATTTCTTATTATCAAATATACTCAACCATCAAACTAAACAGGAAACAGTTCAAGATTAAAAACTTCCTTTCTAACAACAATTAACTTTCACTCTTGACATTTTGATACACTTAATCAAATAATCGACACACTTATTGATTCAATCATATTTCCATTTTCTCTGATTCATTCAGTTTGATTGTTTTACTCTTTAATTTGAACAATTTTCTAGACATAATCGATTGGTCATCTTGTTTCAAATCTTGCCCATTCTGATTCGTATTGTTGTCGTAATCAGATTATAAGGAGAACTTTTTTTTTACAATGATCATTTCGTATATTACATTTACTGTTATATTTCCCGTAGAGAGAAAAAAAAATAGATCTTACATTTGTAATACTCACTTGAAGATGATTCAAGTTACGATCTGAAGCAAAGTTGAAATTCAATTCCTAAAGAAACATGATACTAATTCAATTAATCTAGTTAGTCTGTAAATTACTTTAATCACAACCGAAAAATTTGAATATCTAATGTAATTAAATCGTAGCTCTTGACAATCAACTATATTGCTACTATTTTTAATATTATTAAATGTCGTTAATCATCAATTAACAGTTTACTCTTGATTGACATGATACTTATTCGTCAAAAATGAGTCAACTCATGGGAAATTAACAGGATATTATATTAATCAAATCACCAGCTTAATTGGCTTGTATTGGATCGAGAATTTTGATTACAATGAGAATAACAAAAAAAAAAGATTCCAAATAATAATTGAATCTGAATGAGATGAAACTGTTTCATTTTCTGCTTCTTCTCATCATCAAAGAAATTGAATCATGAAAAAGTTGAGATACATGAAACCAGAGAGGGAAAAACTTAATCAGATAATAATAATAATACAATCAATGGATAAGTTGGTTGATTGGAATAGCAAATAATCAATAATCAATCTCATGTTACAGTAATGATTTGTTGATTGCATGATTCTTAGTCTGATAAAGTGACTTACTTATTAATATTTTCACTGAGTTACTTTTATGGATTAGCTGAATAATTAAGTAACTCCATGCATGATATTAAATCATTTGAATAAAATGACTTTATTATTCATTAAGGATCAAATGAGAAGACAAATTGTTGAAAGCTTTAGATGGATTATATTAATAACGTTTCCATTAATTATGATTGTTAATTTGAATTTACTTTTGTTTCCCTATTCAGGATCATTATGAAAAACCTAAACACCAGAAACCTGATAATCAAATTTGGATTCTCTATGTCCTTGAATGTCCACTACACACTCCACCCTTTAGGGGTCTCAATGAGATGATTAACTGGACAGCAACATATCGACATGACTCGGACATTGTTGCCCCATATGAGAAATTTGTTTACTATGATCCCGAAGTTAAGGTTAATACTCTAAAAGTGATAATTAGACTTACGGCCAAATAAATTGAACTTTTTTGTTGATTATTTTTTCTACAGACTAAACTACAATCAATCAATTATGCTCAAGGGAAAACCAAAAAAGTCGCTTGGTTTGTTTCAAATTGTTCAGCACGAAATAAGAGGCTCGAGTATGCGAAAGAGTTATCGAAGTACATTGATGTCGATATATTTGGAAGGTAATGTATTAGTTGATTTGATTTAGAAAATGGGAAAATCGAAAAAAGATTAATTACCAGTTATTCTGTTTCATTATATTCTTTAGGTGTGGTAAACTTTCATGTTCCAGGAAAAATGCTGATGAATGTTTCGAGATGCTCGATAAAGATTATAAGTTTTATCTTTCCTTTGAGAATTCAAATTGTCGCGATTATATAACTGAAAAATTTTACTCCAATGGTTTAAATCGTAAAATTATACCAATTACAATGGGTGCTCATCCAGAAGATTATAAACGTTCATCTCCCGCCAATTCTTATATTCATGTTAACGATTTTTCATCGCCCAAAGATCTTGCCTCTTACCTATTGAAATTGGACGCAAATGATACTCTTTATAATCAGTATTTCTCATGGAAAGGAACTGGAGAGTTTATCAATACATATTTCTGGTGTCGATTATGTTCCATGTTACATGGACCCGTCAAGCCAAAGTTGTACGAAAATCTTGCTGATTGGTGGTATTCACCGTCCATTTGCAGTGCTGATGATTGGCTCTAATTTACACGAAACAAAAAAAAACAATTCTTGTTATTACCAAACTAGTTACAGTAAAGAGAACTGAATTAATTTATACTTCGTTGTATACTCATCGTGATGAAAATACAGTTCCAATATTGTCTTCACAAAGAAGGTGCTTTTCGATATTTTCTAAGCGGTAACGGTCTCCAGTTATAGTTTTTATCGATACAGAAAATCGTCAGAGTCCACTTGATCCAGAATTTTGAGCTTTACGATACGCGATTGACTATAAAATAGGTGGACTGTATAATGAGAAGAAAAATATTTTTATGATTTGTCCATGTGTTGTTCACATTTGTTTGATTCGTGAAGGGAATCTTAATTACTGCGGGCTGAAAAAAATGCATGTCAGTTCAGTGCAAGTAAAGAGGAAATTATATTGACTGAATACTCACATTTAATTCATGGTGAATGTTTTGAATAGATTTAGTTATCATATTTACCAATGATTTCAATCCTTTTTTGTCCTCAGTCATTTTTATTGGAGATTTGATGCTGGATCACCTTGGCATCGTTTGAAAGGTGACCTTTAAGAATGTTGCTTGTTCAATATTCTCTAAATTATCAGAGGCAATAATCTAAATAAAACAAGTATATTTTCGATGTTGATGATATTAAAAACAATAAATGATTAATTATATTAACATTCTCGAGAAAGTAGAACTAAACAAAAACTTCAAGGGATAATAAAGAAATTGTAGCAATTGTTACTCTTTCTAAATTGTCAACAGCAATTGACAAAGGTTACAACTTAGGGTCTGTCATTAAATTACACATTAATTGAGGTAAATTCAAAAAATTTTCATTAATCAACAAAATAAGATTGTTAAATTATTTTGCTGTCTTAAAGCCTATTTCTCCAAGCAAGTTCCGTCCTCTTGATACACTAAAGACTCTGACATGAGATTACTATTTCAATCTGAAGAATATTCCAAAATAAATCAATCATCATAATCATTACAATCAGGAATGGAATCTTTTGTCATTTACTTATTGACTAGATAATTTGTCATATTGCCAATCAATAAGTGAGGTCACAATTATCTTATTGAATTTTGGCTCAAGTCAATTTCCATGTGACAGAAGTAACAGAAGAAAAAGTTCATTGGGTATTTTTTTAGACCATAGATGTCACTCCACCATCTACAGATCAGGGTGAATCATGAATAAGGGTGACAAATGAATTGAAAAATTGCGCAGTTTAAATTGAACTTGATCTGGTTTCTATTATTATTGTAATATATTTATCATTGGTTTTAAAATTTTGATGCTTTTCCATCAATAAGCAAGGAATAACAGTAAAAATGGTGCTTGTTACGCTTGATTATCAAGTAACTAAATCGTGAATCACACCATTAGGCTGAAAGGAACATGAAAATTGTTTACATGAATGAAACGTACGTTTAATGGCCTAAAAAAAGACACAAATTATTAGTTATCATTAAAGTAATGGATACGAAGTGTTACTTATGAGACTGAAACTGTCACGAGAAAATAAGATAAATACCATGAGCATTCTCACCGAAATTACTCTAACTGAATATTTTTTTTCTCTTTCTCCTTTTTATTCATTTACGATGGTAAAGTACAAAAGGAAACTTTATACATATAGAAAATCGTTGTATTACTAATATGGAAGCTGAAATTCATTGAGAAGATAATGATAAGAAGGCAAAAAGTTGAATAGATCATCAATATGAATAAAATACTTGTTGGTATCAGCAGAAAATAATTGAAAGAGAAGCAAAATCAAATTGAAATATAAGATGATGATGATTAAGGTAAAAGTTAAGAGGCCAAAGAGGATATTCAGGTAATAAAGGAAAGAAGATTTTCAAGAATCAAGGTGAAGAAATTGAAAGTTCAAGATGAAAAATTGCTCCAGAATAAGAAATAATCTATTTCTTCGTGACTCAACTTTTTGTGACAGTTGAAATATGGATCATATTGAATTGCAATTCTTTGATAATCAATTGGAACTTTTTAAAATTCTATCAACTCACAAACATAACTTTCTCCCAGAGAAAAATGAATGCGACATGATCATAACTCTAATCTTTCAGATAGTTGATGAGCAGAAATAATAATAATAATCATATCCGAATAAAATGTTTTTCCAATTGAATAATACATTAGATAAAATAAACTTGGAATAGAAAATAAGTAATTTCATCTTCATTGATCTCACTTTTCTTTATCTTCATATTACTTTAAATTGGTTCACCTTAGAATTCATTTTTTTTAATAAACTTTTACTCCAACATAATTTCAAGTGATTCGAATCAACTGAATCAAATCCATAACATTTCTCTCATCTTTTCTTTAAATCTTTTCATACAATTTCAATTCTTTTATTCTAATAATAATTCTTATCTTAATCTTTCTTACAATTTTCTCTCTCAATATCGAAAAACATTCAAAAGAATAATAATAATGATGATAATATCACCCTGATGTTTCCATGAAATCTACTTCTGTATCTCAAGTTTCCAGAATTCAATCCATTCTCATATCTTCGTAAATATATTATGTTATTGAATAAAGTTTCGTTTCTTTTTTTTGCAGTATGTAAACAACATTAACAATAAAATGGCTCAGATGATAAAGGAAACTAATATTTTTCGTGGTAAAAAAAGTGAACATAATAACAGAATCAGAAAATGATATGTTATCATCATCGTAGTGCTAAATCAAGAATGGAAAGAGATGAGAAAACGAAGACGAGTAAGAGAGAAAAAAAATAAAGATCGGAAGATTTCATGAGATAATTTTATTTCCGGCTAAATGAAATAAACCAATTTTTCTTGACCCTTTGCTTTTTGTATCTTATTTTATTGTAAAAAGACACTTAGTATTGAAGAGAAGAGGTAAAAAGAAATCATTTACAGTGGATGATAACTATTACTTTTTCTACTTTATTTTTATTTTCAGATGATGATGAACCTGATGATGATCATCTTATATCCTTTCTCCCTCTCTCATCCTTGATATCCGCTCTCAGCATTTCCTTTAGTCAATCCCTGCACAAGATCACTGCAGTATTATAATAATATAAACAGTAACATTTATATTCCTCTTATAATACTTTCGTTTTTATATTGTTTCTTCAGCCCTACTATTGATAAAATGTTCAATCATCAGCACAATCCATAAGAACTGATAAATAATGATTCTAATAGGCTTTTGCAAAGAGAGAAGATAAAGAAGGAAGACGATGATGATGATGATGATGATGATGATGATGGAGAAGAAGAAGAAGAAAACAATTGCCAATAGAAAACCTAAAATAGAAAAAGGCTGAAGATGATGATGAAGATGAAAAGGAAACGAAAAGAGGAAAAAAGTAGTAGGTTCGTTGGGTGGGAGTGAAAGTTGAAGGAAAACCTTTTATATTTACCAAAGGTAACATCATATAAAATGACGTTATCGACTTATCATCAAACTCCCAGCATCAACTAGTCAAGGCCTGAATCTGCCAACATTTCTCATAGAATTTGATATTATTTTTTTTTTTGCTTTCTTCTGTTCTTATCAAACACAAAATATATTATATGATAATAAATCTCAATAAATGAACTTTTATGTATTAATGTTACCATTGTTATTATTATTACTATTGTGATATAATGGATGTTGAAAGACAATGAAAAGAGTTCACAGATTTCCAATGTGTTTATTTGCTATTTATTATAAATGGACATTAATTAATCAATTTTGACCCAAACGATTGTTAGTCAAACAATATCAATAATAGTTAATGATTAGTTAATTGTGATAAAAAGAAAAGGTAATAATAACAACATAGATTTACACACACACACAGAGAGAGAGAGAGAGAGAGAGAGAGAGAGAGAGAAACAACAAAAGTTTTAGTTGATAGCAAAAATAATTAGTGTATTATGATGATTTATGAGTTAACATGATTGGTTTCAAGTAAGGACTGAATTGACTGAGAAGTTCTGAAGATTGTGTTCACAATGAAGTGTTAAGAATATTATCTTGTTATCATAAATTATCATCAAAATTCAAAGAAGCAAAGAAGAGGAAAAGAAAAACATTTCTCCACTTAGATGACGAAATATATATTCTCCTTCTATGTGATGATGAGAAGGTAAAATCACCCTGAGGTTAAGATGAAATACCACCGGGCATTGATTGAGAATGAGAATCAAGATTAATCCAACAGTTGAATCGATCCATTCTTATCAATTCAGTCTTTCATCATTCTATCTATTTTTACCTCGTTACTCCCGCTCTTCCACCTACTTTTCGTCTTTATTGTCATCCAACCTCATCATCATTTTCATCTTTCACTCCATCTTCCTCTCTTTCTCTCAAATACACTTTTTATCTTCCATTGGTAAAGATATAATTCTTTATATTGTCAGTTTAGCTGGAAGCATCTTTCCTTACAGATCAATAGTCTCTCTCAAAACCATCTTTATCTTTTTTCCCTTCATCCTCATCTTCTTTTCACTTTTTTCTTTTTCTCTTTGATATACATTCTCTTCATAATAATCTTCATCATCATCATCTCTCTCTCTCTCTCTCTCTCTCTCTCTCTCTCTCTCTCTCTCTCTCTCTTTCTCTCTCTCTTTCTCTCTAACTTTCTCTTTCTCATTTCCCCTTTCCTTCCTTGTTTCATTATTCTCTTCACACCCTTGTCCTCTAGGATATTTCACTCCTGATTGATTCTTTACTGTTTATCATTAATGTCGCTGAATATAATATCATCCAACTTTGTATTCTTATTATTTGCCGTATATTCATTCAAACACAATACAAATCAAATTCGTAGCAAATATCATCATGATGAAACATCACTATCAATAAGAGACCAGAGAAGATGAGGAAGATAAAGAGAGAGAGAGAGAGAGAACGACATGAAAGCTTGAAAGATCTTCTTTTGTATTGAAACAGTTACTATTGTAATGACTTTTGGGTAACAGTTTTTTATACATTTCTCATCATTATCATCCGCCACGATAGTTTATTCAACCCTCTCTTCATCTCCTTCACCAATGCAACTTAATACTCCCTTCGTACTTTTAATGTGCAGCCTTGTAACTTAATCAGAATCAATCATGAACCAATGCTGATAATGATGATGATGATAATAATAATGTTTTGCTTTTCCTTATAATCATTATTCAACAATTTCCTCTTTTTTCAGTACCATTAACATAAACAATAATCAAGGCAGAAAAAAATAGTTACAGAGACACAAACATTTTGGACTCACAAACATTTAATTTCATTTGGGTGTGGTTATACTACCCCAGCCCAGAAATAAGCTGATTTGATCTTGATTTTCATGTCAAAAGCTTATTAATAAAATACTCATCAACTCAACTGAACTCAACGTTCATTGAGTTCAAATGTAATAATCAACATCCATTAGCTATTCAATCTGTTTCAAATCAATTGATATAATAATAACATTCATTTTATCACTATCATCATCATCATAGTAATAATAATAATCATCATCATCATTATCTTCACCAGGAATCATTTGTACGTTGAACTATTTTTCTGGATTAGATTTTGTTGGATACTTTGTATCTAAAATAGAGCTTGAATAAAATCAAAGAATGGATGCTAAAAGTTAACAGTTTCATCATGAATCCCTCTGATTAATGAATACGATTTACTTTGAATCCAGGGGGGAGGAAAAAGTTTCCAAGAATATTATTGTAAAGTTGTGAGAAAAAATTGTTTCCGTTTTCCGTTTTTACCATTGGATTCTCTTTTTCTCTTTTTACTCTTTATGGTTATAATTTTGCTCTGGTTTCGTATATTTGGTTCATTGAACATGGAAAGAGACACTGGAATCAGAATTTTACTTCCATTATCATCATCATGGTATAATAATAGAAGTTAAGTGATTCAAATTTCATTTTTATAGCTCATTTACTTGGGTAACTAAATTAATGTTCATATTTTGATGAAATTCACTCTGATTTTTACCTGAACTTGAACATTAACTAATGGTAAATGTTTGAACATTACAAAGTTTCATTAATCAAATGGATCTTAATGGTAACAGAACTCAATTGAGTGCTTACAAATTCTTGCTCCGTGGTAATTAACTTACGATAATCAACGCCTTACCCCTAAAATCTTGTAATTTAATTTAATTTCTTCCAATTATCACGTTAATTAGAGTAAATTTTCAAGTGACCATTTCGTTTGAATTGTCTTCAAATTGAAACATTTTCTATCTGATCCAATTTCCTTAGTCTTTCGCTCAATCAAAAAGGTTCATGTTAATAAATAATGATTCATTTTCGACTGATTAAGTCTAATTGTTGTAACTATTAACTTACGAGATTTAATCAACATTGTTCTCCTCTATTCTGTGTAGATTGTCCTTTTCATTATTATCCACAATCAAGTTGGCAAACTATTTATTGGTTAACTAATTGAACAGAAAAGAGAACAAGAAAAAAAACGAAAAGAATTAAATTAAATTGTTTTCTATGTGATTGTTTGTTGATTTACTCGAGTTAAATTATTTTCTATTGTGTGTTGATTACTTGTTCACTTGTTTGAATTGTTGTTCTTGTTATTGTTCAATTTACTAATTCATTGAATGTTAAATAAAACTTTCATCAACTCTAAATGAGTTTCCATTGTTTCCAAGTCGTTCGTTGATGAAATCAAAAAAAAGTTCTGATGATAATATACCATTATAATTCGGTCAATATCAATTGATGAAGATTTCAAGGGGACCTATTGTTCAACGTCAACAACTGAATTTCCAGAATTTCTCATTAATTTTTATCTCTTTTATCATTCACATCATTATCTAATCTTTTCTTTTTCATGATTCTCTATCTATCTCTGTCTATCTTTCATCATCTTTCTCCATCTGATTATATCGGTGCTCTATCCTTGTTTTTTATTCATTACACTGAACTTATAGTAAATCAGAGTTCGATTTGATTTTATCATGAAAATTAAATGCTCAATTCCCTCGATATAAGTGCAAATCTTTTACATTCTTATTTAGTTTTTCGTTCAGATCTCATCAAGGATCACTCCCTGTGGATATTCATGCCTGCAAAAGCACTTCATCTTCTCAATGCTGCAGACAATATTTAAATACAGCTCAATAGTTTTATTCAGAAGACTACTCTCTCTACTAAGACTTGATAACAGCCGAAAGTTGTCGCTATTGAGCAATGTGAAATTAAGATCACAAAATAGAGTCTTGAGCACAAAATAGTTGAAGTAATTAGAGTCACAATAAACTAGAACCATCTTCTCCAGCAGTTTTATAATAATGACATCTATTTGGCTTCATCGATTTATATTGATTCGTATATTCAAGTCACTTTGTTGTTGCTGTTCAATCAAAAAGGTCAAAACTTTGTAAGCAAAAATGTTCAGATAATGAATATTATTAATTCTTAACATTTTGTTATCAACAGCATGAAAAGGGCTTTGCCATATCTTTTTACCTTATTCACCTCAACTGATTCAAGTTTGACTTGATCAACAGCATCTTCATCATCCTTTATCACTTCTTTAAGCTTAGTATTGGAATTTTTCCCTAAACATTTCTAATAATGGTATTAATATAAAACGGATACTCGATGATGTTTAATGCCAGTGGCTTTTGACAATGTTAACCTATTCAGTCTGTCAAATAATTTGATGTTGATTAATCTTTGATGATTTATTGTAAACAACATAGCCCAAAATTCATTAAAGCTCTTTACCTTTTTTTTGTCTTTTTCCCTCACAACCTGATCATGTTCATGATATTCCACTTTTATTTTCAGGTTCAATTGTGTATGAACAATTTAAAAGAGCCAACAAATTGATAACTTTTCTTTGTTCATCTTTCACCAAAAACCCTTTTGGCTTAATCATCACCACGATTACAACAGATTAGTTTGCTAGATAATGAAAATACTCATCTATCAAAAAGCTAACGGTAAATTAAGTTAACTGGCATCTCAACGAGAAGATGTGAAAATGTTAAGGTACATAAAGGAAAGGGAGAAAAATAAAACAGAATCAGTGATTCATGTAGCTAATTTATCCTGATTATTTTGACTTAATAATTTAATTAAGAGTAAACATGGAGAAGTAATTACTCGATACTCATATTAACCATGTACTTAAATTAGTTTGATTCGAATTGTGGTA